TGGATACCCGCCGAAATAAGCTGTAAGATGTTGCGGTCGTCCTTCAGTGGGCGGCTCTGGTGCTTGGCTGCGTGTCGCATCTCTAGCGAGTTCTCGAGAATCGTGACGAACTGCTTGATCTGACCGTTGTACAGAACACGAGCCGGGATGCGGCGTTTGGTTGCCAAGCGCTTTAGAAGATAGACCCATTCCGTCCATTCCCTGTCTTGAGGTCGCTCTACAGGCCTCATGTCCTGCGTCAAGGGGATGGGGAACTGGTATTTCGCAACGAAGTCATAGGCGCACTGAGAGAGCCGGTCGTTAACCTGTGTCAAAACCAGATCCTGCTCTTGGACATGCAAGTTCGTCGGAAGGTGTGGCAGTTCGCGTTCTTGCATGGCGATGTACTCGGGGGGCGGGCGGGCGAGAAACTGATGCGGCCCGTCGAATTCGTCCCGGTTCGATGGTCGACGTTGAGGCCGACCCTTCCCACTCACTTTGCCTCCCTTGTGTGGAGGCGTCGCACCCGTTCCATTCTCGAGTGAGTAATCAGAGAGATTCGGAGAGGCGATGATATCGTCGACTGAGTCCGTCGGGGAATATCTTTCCTGATGATCCCAGGCCTGGGAGGCTGAGGCCGTACCCTTGTACGAGCCATAACCACCGGCACCACTGGTGCCGTATGTTCCAGATGCTGGCCTTGATGATCCGTACGCCGGGGCGGCAGCGGCAGCAGCTGCGTGAGGATTGGTCCCAATCGGGAGGTTGTAACTACTGGCTCCGGGAGAGTATGTTGACACACTTGAAGGCTGGGTGTTATTTGGTTGCTCCGTGGAAAAGAAAAATGACAGAATGCATCGGCGTCTGTTTCTTACCTAGATGAACGGTAGTAACCATTCTCAAACCCTCCGGCAGGCGAAAATGTATCGTTGTACATTGAACTTTTCTCATCGGTCAGTTCTCCTGTCCTTTTCGGGACGTCATGAGACTTGGGGAACGGTCCGTACCTCCGCGTCGAGTTCCACGGTCCGTTGGACATGGCTGATGGTCTGTAGGCAAAATCCGGCTGGGCCATATCTTCCGGGGGCATAACGGTAGAGAAAAGAAATCAAGCAACAGACTTGGAGGTTTCCAAGAAGTCCAGAGATGGAAGCCACGTGAAATAAGAATAGTCCTTGGGCGGGCAGGTCAGCCCCGGGTGTCCAAAAAAGAGTCCCTTGGGCTGTGATCTCCGGTCCAAGTATTCCTGGGAAAATGCGGCAAGATGTCTCCTCAAACACAAGGGAATCCACGATAACAAAAACGGTCTTGTTCCAGGATGGTACCCTTGAAGAAGTCCGGGTCGGATTGCAAGGGCGGTGTGGATGTTGGGGGGTAAAGCAGGTGATCGGTCCAAGAAACGGCTTGTCTCCACGACAGCACCTTAAGTGACTTATAAGACGCTCGGGAAAGGCTTTAGGTGAAGAGACACTAGGGGGGTTAGTGGAAGAATCTCTCTGGTCTTGCTGGAGCAAAACGGGAAAGAAGAAACCAACAAGTTCCTGGGATGGACGAGGATGGGGGAGCGGGCAGGATCCTGACTGTGGATGATTAAGTTCGGAATGGAGGCATTTTATGTCTGCTTGCGATGTCCCTCCTCGTGGGGCGTGGTACCGGGCGGCGAAAATGGTTGATCCCTGGTTTTGAGGGTTGAAGGGGAGGTGGTCCGTTGGGAAGAGTCGAGGCGGAGGGTGAACAGGGACCAGGAGAGACGCAAGCCGGCGATACTCGAGTAAAGATTTGCATTCGCCCCAATGACCAACACCACGGAGACGTCTTTGGTTTCAAGCAGACGGGTGCCGCATAGGCTAGAGGATACGTGACTGCCAAGCGCTGTAGTCGAGAAGGTTCGTCCGTCGGGCGTCCTGGGATAGATTGGGGTTCACCACGGTGTTGCCGCCCTACTGGAAGTTGGCATCCATCCCTTGGCTGGCAAGCCTTGCTTTTCGGATTTGCGAGGTGAACACGACAGGATAGGCGAGTAAGCGAACGAGGGGAGATCAGCGTGCCCTTTGATGGCTGGTGCCCTCCTGTCCCCTCTATTTTGGCGCGATGCCAGGTCGACTTTTTGACAGTTGGCCCCTCTCACCAGGAATACCCCAGATGAAAAACAAATCTTATGGCCGGGCTGTATTGGCTCGCGCGTGAAAGCCATTGGCCCTGCCAACTCCTGACGAAGTCGACGGGGCCAATTGTGTAGAGTAGGGCACCGATTGGGCTGTGACAGAAACTTTTTCTTTGCTGGGCTGGAGAATTGTTGCCCGAAAGGTCGGAGTAGCTTTTCGGTACCGGATGGGATGATTTGTGCAGGGCTGTACCTAGCGGGAGAAGAAGCGGTGACAGCAGGCCGGGTTGGGCACAAATTGGACAAACAAACACCGGCGGCGGATACGATGAAGAGGGGGAAGGGGACGCGCGCTACCGCCTGTATTTGTGAGCCCAACCATGCCTTGATGCCCACTTTGGTGAATTGGAGTTGCTTTTGGCGCATCATTGAATCAGGGACTGTCAATGACCGGCGAGCATCACAGGCATCTCAACATAGCCCGGGGGGAGGAGGGGGTTGATGGAGCCAATGGTTGTGTTGTATCCAGTGTCTCTGCCCGCAGTGACAATCCGGCAGTCGTCCTGCTGACGGGCTGCCAATTTTTCAAGACGTCGACCTCGAATAGAACAGTGCAACAGAGACGAAAAAGCTGGGGGGCCCTCGGTGACAAGTGTGCGTTGGACCGACGAATGATCTGACCTTGACGTAGCGAAGTGAAGCTGGTATTGTCTTGTCTTGTATTGGGGCAGGGAACCAGGGCCCAAGAATCCCAGAAATGGAGTTGATGGGGCTGGAGATGTGAATTGGGGGGAGACTTTTGGGGGGGGCAACGAGGGCCAATGGCGGGACTCAGTTGTGGTTTGAAGGCCGGTCGTTCGGCTGGCTGCGAGTGACTAGTGTCGTCCATCGTCCGTGGCATCGACTCGACATCGACAACCGCCGACCAGGCCCCAGGGCGAATAGGGCGGGATGACGTGCGCCTCGGTAAACCCTAGTATCCTGGGAAGGTTGTCGATAACCTCAACGATTCGAACTGAGCAAGAAAACCCAAGGGCAAAGGGCAAGCGAGGGTGGTCGGACGATCGCCGGCAATCTCTGTGTGTACTGTATGTGCATGATGTACGCGGAGGCAGATTTGATCGATCTCAGGGTGCAGTGAATGGCAACCGAGCGCCTCAACCCAACGATTGCGTGCGGGTTGGACAAGCTATTTCGTCTCTTGATGAGCTGTCAAGCGCCGCCTCGTGGTTTGCGGGGATTCCGCGGGACGATCATGTTGCCAAATTAAGATGACGTTGTTCGCTAGGCGTTGGCACTTTGATCAACTGCGCGCTTGTCTTTCAGCTCACATCTCAGATGCTCTCCGCACGACACGGTAGATGGACGCAACACGCCTTCACCCCGCGTTCTGTGTCGATGAACATGACTCCTGTCCTTCAAGGAGTTCGGGACAGAGGGCTGCCGTGGATTCTGCGGGCGACAGTGAGTGAGTATCCATCCGGTCTGTGAAAGTGTAGCACCAAGCCAGCACTAAACACTGAGGTGGAGAGGCTGTGCAGTGTGTGAGAGTGTGTGTGAGGGAGCGGAGGGAGAGCTACTGGCTCTGTGCATTGAGACAGGTCAAGGGTGGTCGGGTTTGCAGTATTGTTTCGCGTGGTTCCCATCGGCGGGTGTCTGGAGAGTCGAGAGCCAGACCGGCCGAGACGAACAGCGAAAATGTCTTGGGCAGACCATGTTTGCGGGCATTGAGCAGGCCGGGATGGCACGCATGGCACCGCGAAATGCGCATGACAAGGCCGAAATCACAGCCGGTGTGTTCCACTTAAAATCTGGCGATTCGGAGGGGCGTGACCGGTCACTTTTACCGTGGGTGTCAATGCGGCCATCTGTTTTTCGGCACCCTGTCTCGACCCCGGCGCGACACAGGGCACCTAATCGAGCGCCCCCGTCGCGGGTTCCTGATCGGAAGAAATTATCCGATTGTTGTCGGAATGACGGCCACGGGCCCTGGTGGTGCCTGGTGGGTGGAAGCGGAGCGATCCAGCCAGCGATGGAAGCATGTTCGACGATGTTCGATGCTCGGGCATGGAACAACACTATTTCACGGACGTTGCTTGAGCGTGCGAATCTGACAGACCAGGGTCGACGCTGATGCCAGAGATGACGCCTGGAGAGGCCGATAATTGCTTGTGGACCGTTTGCTGTGTTTGGATTAGAGCATCGATCTCCTGTGTTTTCGGAGATCAGATGAATAGAAGAAAAAGAAGGGGAGGAGGACAGCAAGACTCTGTGGTTGGCAAGCTGCAACTTCCGCAGACGATGAGAGAATTGCCGTGCTATCGTGCCTTCCTAGGGTTTCGCATCTGAAGCGAGAGCAGCAGTTTCCGTTTCCAAGACGGAGGGAGACGGCCCTTCTCCAGGTTGTGGCTTCTCAGTCTAGATGCCAAGCCACACCGAGGTTGGGTCAACAAGTGGCTTGAGCTTGGCAACCTTACATAATGGTCAGGTAGTCACGGTAGGCAACCCCACCAGATGATCTCCTAGCTTTCCCATTGGTTGTACCTTCATGCACGTCTCGTGTAGCAACTCCCGCTTGGCGGCCCAGGCCAATCATCATCATCGTCAGCAACGCCTTCGTGCAGGCACCGCAAGCAGGAGGCTGAATAAAATGAAGAAACACGTTCTCCGGCCAGAGGCTTCCTGTCTCCCGATCTCATCTCCCTATCACGAGAGCTTTTCCCTCTCGCATCACCTCACACTTGTCCTTCGGAGCTGACCCCCCCTCCCCCCGGCCTGGTCTCATGCACCTGCAAGATCAGTCGAGATTTGGCCCGCATAACCGTCGTCATTTCATCAAGCATGGTCAATCGGCGTCGCTTTAACCCCCGGGACTGCGTGGAGCATCATTGACATCGAAACGTACCTTGGACTTGATATGGCGCCCCCGAAGAACAGAGTCCGCAAGTTCCACCGCCGTAGCAAAAACGGCTGCTCGACATGTAAGCAGCGTCACGTCCGCTGCGATGAGCGCAAGCCACTATGGTATGTCCTTCCTTATCCCTACCTTGTCTTCACACCTCCCCCCCTTTCACCTTGTTTATGCCTACCGTCTTGGCGGAGACAACGCCTGTGATGAAAAGATCGATCCGGACTCTGCGGGTAAAGCCCAGCAATCGACTAACCAGCCCGCAGCACCAACTGTCTCCAGACGGGCAAGGACTGCATCTACCCCGACCCCGCCACTGATGCCGAGTCCACTCCAGAGTCTCGGGCCGAGTCCGAGTCGGCGGCCTTGATCCCGGTCGCGGAGTCGGCTCGCCTCGTCAACGTCCTGTCCCATCAGCCATTCGCCGGCTTCTCCGGCGACTATCAACTCTCGGAAATGTCGCAATGGCTCTTCCATCAATGTAAGTCATGTCGCCCGCCGCTGTTATGCTACCTTCCTGACCACAAGCTCAGTTACCAACTTCTATGTTAGAGGACAGACTCCCGTGGAACGAGGCCAGAATCTGTGCAGGTAGGCGATCGACTTTGTTTGCGAATCAGATGCCGGCTCTGACATGTTGGGCAGTGTTCAGAGGACTCTGTTGCATCCAGGTCTGCTTCATGGCTGCCTAGTGGTCGCGGCGTGCCAGTGGGCCTGGGTCACAGGATCGCTTGAGCATGTCAAAGTCCCCTTTCTCTACCACAAGGCAGCAGCATACGAGTTCGCAAAGAAGCAGCTGTCAGAGTCTGAGACTGATGTCAGCGACACTGCCGTCTTTGCTATTGCAACACTGGCACTTACTGAGGTATACCGCACTTGGAATCCGGAAACTTGTGGCCAAACCAGTACTGACGGACCATAGGGTGCGGTTGGGGACCTTGACGCGTCATCCAAGCATCTACGCGGCCTGTATAGGTTAACACTCCAGAAGAATGGGTATAATCTGATGCGGTCAAACTTAGCGCAGCAGATGCTGGATATGTAACACAAGTCCGTCTCCGGAGGCGTGCTGGATCTCTATAGCTGACATGAATGTAGGGCAGGCGACCGTCTACGCCGTGGTGAAGTCCACGTCATACACGACGCCATCAGTGCCGATTTCCAGCCAAGCATCATCGCTTTGCTCTTCACCTCGCTATGGGACATGGAGAGCCTACCTCCACGACAGGCACCGAAATACGGCTGGTGGGAAGGGGCAGAGACCCCAACGGACTTGCTTTGGCAGGACTACACCAAGAATCTCAACTGGGAGCTATCCCGTGGCTTTGACCCCGAGCGCAATATAGCTACGATGTTGAACGGTGATCCTAAGAGCAGCCGCGCGAGTTACATCGCAACGTTTTTCTACCTCGTCATGGCGGTGAACGACAGCGAGATGGACTGCGTCTTAACGGTCTGGCTGCTTGAGCAGCTCATCGATGACGTGTGCGACAAAGAAGCAGAGATGGTGGCAGGCTCCTTCAGCAGGAGTTTGTGGTTCTGGAGTGCCATGTTTGGTGCGGCCATTGCCAATTCAGGCAGGCCCATTACTGACACAGGCAAGCAACAGCTGGCAAAGTGGAAGGCTGTGTATGCTGCGAAACTCTCTCTAGCTAGCACCGTGATGCATATAAGCAACTGGGAGCAAGCCAAAGCCGCTCTCGCTGAAGTTGCGTGGACGGACGGATCGGATGCCGAAAGTCGACTGCGAGATATCTGGCAAGATGCGATATCAGATCGACATACACAGACTAATGTACTCGATATGAGTGGTCGCGGTACTGTTTAAGATGCATCCACTCTCGCTTCCAAACTCATCGGCGAAGTCCTTGGAGATAAGCCTATTTACACCGACACTTTATCGCCGTTGTACTGTCGCTCGATCTGAGGATATCATCATCACAGAGGCGTTGGCGAAAGAGCAGGGTTTGATACCGGAGGAATGTTTTGTCGAATCCCGAGACAGCAGTTGGTCGGGTGGTGGTGACTGAGTCAGATAGCCGGCACACCGAGATTTGGATCTGCGCTGTGCGTCGGAAGCACCCAGGCCGGCGGGCGCGCACAATCACCTTATTTGCAATAGTGTATTTCGGCGGTCCGACGGCCGAAAGTAATGAATCACTGTAAATGGTCCAAGTTGTGAAGAGGTTCCCACAAAATCGAGGAGACGAAATGCGATTCCAAAATCCGTAACACGCCGTCGAATCTGCCAGGGGAAGATCGCCAACTCTCCGAATCCCCTCATCTTCTGACTGGGGATTCGGGGGCCTCAAGAGCGTTTGCCGAGGGTCGAGCGCAACAGACTTTGCTGGCGCGAAATCTTGACAGGGATTAGATGACGGCGAGTTCCCAACCACCTCAGCTCCAAATTCCAGTGAGGGAGAGAAGCAGTGGCGGAACTTTGTCGGTACCTGGAAGTTCCAGAAAGTTTCGGTGACTGGTGGTGTAGCTCGATGTTGCTCGTCGCTGGAAGTTGCAGGTCACGTGTGGTTCCAGAAGCCACCATCAGCATTTCCCCTGAGTCAAGGAGGAGTTAAGCACTCCCTAGAGCTGTGATACAGATGCATTAAGGACAGAGATGAGCGATGAGTTGTTCCTCGTTGCTCTATGCGTACCCGTTGGCGCAGCTGGCGTTGCGTGTACTTTATGCGTCATCAGGGTGGACTCGGCAATGTTGACGAGGGCATCGCAGAAAACAAGGCACGTACTAAGTACGGATAGAAGCTAGCTAGTCGGGAAAGGTTTGGGTTAGAGGCTGTGGTTGAGAGGTCGTTGATCAAGACGGGTGGCTTGGCTAAGGTAAGGTTGCGGGTGCTTGTTTAGGGCCACACGAACGTCACGGTAAGGCGGTCGGGTGTTTCCAGGAGGAAACAGCCGGAGCTCTATCCGCCCGCAGTCAGCAGGAAGCTCAGGTCGGTTGTGAGGACGGCTTGGGAAGTGTCGACGTCGCTTCCCTGCCTCTCGTCTTCGATATGTATGACCAGTGGGAAAGGTGAGGCAGATCACCAGGACGGGGTAGGCGAAGGTGAGGAGGTTGAACCTTGTTTCCTGTCCCGGGGGAAGGAGGGAGGGCAGAGATCGAGGCAGTTGCTTCCGAGTGAGGTGGTCTTTGTTTGCGCTTCGATGGCCAAGGCTGCTTGCTGTCTCGTCCCATCGTTAATGCATCCGCTCGTCAACGGGCGCTGTCGTCGCACATTGTCGCCCATTTCCCAATCCCCCACCCCTCGTCCCGTGTCTGGCAACGTCAGCTTTTCAGCCATCTCGCATGAGACGACCCTTCAACACTGGTTCCCCGCATCTCAACCGCATGCTGGCCTCAAAGTCAAGACCGGCCAGCTTCACCATTGTCAGACCGTCAGCGTCTATTCAGACAACTTGTGGAGCTCGGGGCAGCTTTTCCATCCAGCCCAGCCGGGGAACTCGGAGATGGACGGCGACTGCTGCTGCTTCGGCTTGCTTATCCTGATGGCCTGGTTGTCGACTCGGATTCTCGGGATCGCATCACGGCGCACGACAAGCCATCGCAGTCGCGGCATCTCGCTCATGATACGATGAGCATGACAGCTGAATTAAGGTCGCAAGGTGACCACCTGGCCCCACGCCGCATATTTCTCATGCACTACGCAAACGCATTATCGCAAAAAGAGTTGCGAAGTGGTTGGCGTGGACCGCTTCCGGTTTGCCAGCGGCAGCAGCAACAGCAACAGCAGCAGGCCAGTTGGCAGTAACCGGTCAATCACGTCGCGAAGCACGTTTGCATCTGATGTCTGGCCGTTGCTGTCTCGTGGGTGGAGGAAAGTGGTCTGCAATTAATAGAAGGTGGGTGGTGTTGTGATTACGGTGTGGTGTGCTGCTGCCGGTGTGTGGCCGGCCGACCACAGCTCGATCCCCGGACCAGTGGCCGTTGGACACGCCAAAAGTACTGCCGTCGGATGAGGGAAAGTCGAGATGGAGAGCGTTGACCGGTGTGTGTCAGCGACTGCAGCTTGCCCTATCAAGCCCGCCGAGACCAACTCGGGACTACACACGTGAAGCCACAACCGCCAATAGAGCAAGCAACACGGTGCTTGATGGACGACGACAAGACTCGAGAACGAGGCACTGACGGGCTGACAAGCCGGCCTGGCTTCCGCAGTTCCCGCCCGCGTCGGCGGCTTTGGGGTGCGACTACAGACGCCAATGCAGTCCGGATTGGCTCTGGCTCGTCCTGCTGCGTCTTTTTTCGTCGACACACATGTCGTCCTTCTCCTCCTCTGCCCGGTGGGCCGCTTCGATCTTCAAGCAGACGGCTCTGATTGATGCGTCAAAGCGTACGTCGACAATCGCGCCATGACTTTTTTGATGCTCGACGAACCTACTGGAAACGGGAGGCATTTACGACGGATGGCGCAAGGGAATAGGGGTTTTGGGACGGCATGGGACGGGCGGGCGGCTTGTGATGGGATGGGATGGGAAATTCGGAACGCGCGCAGACGGGCAACGCAACGCAAGGCAGGGCAGCGCAGAGACACCAAGCTTGATGGGACGAGCAAGTTCCGCGCGTGGTGCGGATGGCGGAGAAGATGAAGGGCTCGCAGAAAGCAAGCATTAGCCCGTCACGACTCGTCCAGCCTGCCGCCTTCTTTTCTTTTCTCTGCGTCCTTCTGGCTCGCTGCTGGCCCATGGCTGGCTTCGTTTTCCCGCCGAGCACGCTCAGGGTGCTGCACGGATGAGCTGGCGTTGCAGCCATAATCCCTCCTGGCCGGCACGACTAGGGGTTCCTCGCACCGCGATAGGCTCAGGGTCGTCTCCTGTGTCCACCTGCGGCCCATGTCCAAGTCAGCAGAATCAAGGCAGAAGGCCCAGTCACCGCCAACTTCCACTCGGAACGGGCCTATGACAGGTGCAGTGAGCAGTCAGAACAAGGCCAGTTGGCTAGCGCCATGTAATAGCTCGAGGGCCTGCTGCGGCCATTGTGACGGCCGGCAGCAGCAACACGACACATTCGACGTGCATTCTCTGCCAGTCGGCCTGTGTTGGAGGGCGGGAGTCCAGACACTCTGGCCAGGGAAAGGACACGGCTTTCAATAAACACGGCGGCAGCGAAATGAGACTGATTGAGACGCGAGACGGGCTGGCGCTGGAAATGAGTGGTGGACAATCAAGACCAAATACGTATCCATACGTATCATTGCATGCTGCGCACGTATGTGATGGTGGTTTCTTGGCCTGACACATCAAGCACATCCGCCCTGCAGAATGAAAGGTGCCAATGCTTCGGGAACAGGGATCATGAATGCCAGCAGGGCATGCGGCATGGCACGCACGACGTGGAGTCCACCCCGAATCCTCCCCTCCCCGACCGACCCCCTCGCAAACCTCATCTCGTTCGTTCGCTTCTGCTGTGCTCTCAGAAGCCTTCGTCGTCGTCCTGCAACATTAAAACCCGCTGACCCCCTCTCTCCCTGCCCAACGTCGCTTCTCTTCCCTTCTTTTCAGCCCAACCCGCAAGAACATTCCTGCCCAAGCATTCTGCCTACTGCAAAGCTGATCCTTTTGGCAACCCAACAGCCGCCAATTTCTCTTTTTCTACCCGCCTACATCCCTTCCAACCCTTACACAACAGCAACCCTACACAGAAGGTCAAAAAAGATCTTCCCCATCTTGCCACCCAAGGATCATCCCACTCGACACCAACTCGACCTTCCCATTCCACAGGAACTCTGCAAGCAGCTACCCGCCCGGGTTATCGCTCTTGTTATTCTGTACACCGACACAGCTCATCCGAGTTGACTTTACTGCCCCGGATTGCATGATATACAACCCAAGGAATCAATGACTGCTCTTGTTGTTCCGCGCCCGGATATGCCTGGCTACAACCTTGACCTGGACGACGTCCACACACCTTCTAGGTATTGTCTTTTCTTTCTCTGTTCCCAGGGTGGTCCATTGTCTTTTTTGAAATCCTGTACTGCAAAAGTCATGTTTGTTTCATTGCGTCTGCTTCTCAGATCTCGCCGGCCACGGAGGCCTTTTCATACAGGACATCTCGACCCAGGATTCTTCAGCCCAGGACTTCATCCGAGGATACTTGCCAGGACTTTCTCTCTCTTGCCCGGAAACTTCTTCCCTGGAATACCTGCTTGACTTGCCAACTGGATGGAGACCGGTGTGCTTGGGCCTCGCCCTATGCACTTTGTCAAACCGAACGGTCATCACACAAAGAATTATCTATCATCACATTCATACCACGGTTAGTATCGCCTGCCGACGAATCAGGATTTTGCAGCGACATAGACCCATTGGACGTTTCGCGAGAACTGGATTTTCATGCCTGGCTTTCTCCCTTGAGAACCGTGGGTTTTTTACTCCCTGGATTTGTGGACAAGGTCTCGCCCGAGACTAGAGACTGCCCAGTCTCGCATTTGGATCGGATTCCTAGGATGACCGCTGAAATAAACACTCCGTGTTTGTTTTCCCGTGTACCTGTCATAGCTTAATTCAGCTCATGCTGGTCACAACCCGATATGGACCAAGGCTTATCGCTCCTTGCAACTTACGGCTGGTTCCGTCTCTTCTGTTTATGGATTTCCCTTTGCTTCGATTCTGTTTCTGATCTACGGACTTCATCGACCTTGGCTTCCAGCCTTATGGACTTTGTCTCGACCCATTGCCGCGTTCAAACGGACTTGTTACTTCAGATGGACTTCAGCCTAAGGATTCTATTGACCCATGGAACTCAGCTGCACCAAACGGCACACCTCGGCATCAGGAGACTATTGAAATTACCAACTTCGACCTCCACTGTGG